TTAATTTTTTCCCATAGTACTTTTTATAAATATACTGTGTTTCACATACAGATTTTGTTTTCTTCTGGCTTCCTTCACTAGAATGTAAGTTCTATGCAAATAACTTTTTTTCTGATTGCATTACCTCAGTTTCCTTGGACAGTACTATGAACATGTAAACATTCAATAAATGAATGTAGGAATAAATCAGTATTGATCAAATTTACCAAGTAATTGCCAGATTTCCATTTGATGTACCATTGAAAGCATAATTTACCTGTCTCATGATTAGAAAATATAGTAAGAAAACATGGTTAGAAAAGTGCTTTAAAAAACATTCTGATACATAGTCAGCCCTTAACACTCACTGGTACTATCATTAAATCAATTCGTGAAAAGAATACTATTTTTTAATGTACTCATTGCATAGATGAAATAGAGTCATGAAAATTAAGTAGATATTAAACATATTTGCCTCAATCGTCTGAATCCTTTAGTTCAAAGCATATTTTAAGAATACATTATTAATATAATTTACTTTCTGAAAAGTAACAAGACAATTAAATTTATTTAACAAACTCCAATTAAATCAAACAGAGTATTATAATAATTCCAAAGATTAAGCTTGGTTTTGAATTGTGCCCTGCCATTTACTAGGTCTGTGACCCTGGGCAAGTCAATTAAAAACCTTAGGCTTCAGTTTCCACATGTGTAACATGGGTGAAAATTAAATCTATGTTAGTAGTTTAATATTAAACATAGCACAGTACCTGACACATAACAATTCTTGATAAAAGGAAGATCAAAAAAATATTATTAAATGTATAAAATCTAATGAAAAATGTCTGTGACAAAGCTATCTCAATTTACATAAAATTAAGTGAGAATTAAAAGTGAAAGTATATTTTTCTGACCCCAAGTTTAAGCAAATAAATTAGAAATTCACATTTTGGAAGAAATGATCATTTTCAAAAGAACTTAATATAGGAAATACTAACATTTGATGCAAATCACTTAGCATATGACTTCCTTTGTATTGCTAAGTATAAAACACAGAACCTCTTAGTACCAGTTTAAGGATGGTGTTCTTTTAAAATCAACACTTTTAAATTCCTGAAAAGCCAACATTATATATACAATCCTCTCCCTTCCCTATCTCAATCAATTTAAACTTATGGAGGTACTGAGTTAGAAAGATGTTCAAAAAGCTTATGATACATGTCTTCAAGGTCATCATTATCTAAGAATGTGTTACAAATATTTTGTTATATGGGCCATGTTAGGCAGTCTCGTACAACATTTTTAACGCCAAAGTAGGCGCATTGGATGCTACACTTAGTTATGGCGGAGAAGATGGGAATGGTTTCTGCTCAGGTTCTCTACAGAGATTGTTGGAGCCACAGTGGGAAAACAAGCCTTTCAGGTCATCCCACAGTAGACCACAGACCCTGGGTGCTACCTTGTGATATAAAGCTTAATGATGTTCTGTGAGCCAGATCGAGTCGAGGACGTATGTCTATAATTGTCCTGGAGCTGAGGAGCCTGAGCAAACAGGACATTGTGCTCTAATGAGTGTAGAGTCTCAACATTGTCTTCAAATCCCAAGCAACCCCATTTCAGAAAAGAACTTTAGAAGCTGTGACAAGTAACATCTCCAAGCTTGCTACCATTGTGAGCTGATACTCAAGTTTCCTCTGTACAAAGGAAATGATGGTGACAGGGTTGAGGATGGGGAATGTACAAGAAAATAGTTCATCTTTTTTTTTTTTTAACTTGTGGATGGAATATAAAGAGCCTCTTAAAGTCTTGAAAATGCCATGAGCACTGCTAATGTTACAGGGATCAGAATGTGGATACTGCCTACATGAAAGATGTGGGTGTCCTTCAAAGTTCCCCTGCTTAATGTACCTTAATATTAAAACACAGACCAGTACAAATAACATTATGTATATAATAATGTGATTCAACTAATCAGGGCTGTTCCAAGGCCAGGGCCACCTGAGTGTCATGCAGTCTAGCACAGAGGAAGGAGGCTTAGCCCAAGGAACATAGGCCCTGGCACTACCCCTCTCCATTAGATTGAGAAAACCTTCCATATGTCCAGACTACGGTATTGATAGCTTATGGTGAATGATGTCAGATTCGTGATCTCCAAGGAAGATTTAGTTTTGGGACTAGGGGCCAGGCTTGAATACTCAGAGCTTTTGTGTGGCCGAAGTTTTATTACAGTGAAAAATGACAATGAAGAGCAATGAGAGTGCCCCACTTGCTAGTCTCGTCAACACCTTACATATTTTTACCAGACCCACCCTCTCAACATACATCTTAAATTAACAAGATTAGAACTAACAATGTGAATGTGAAGTCTCTCAGTCATGTCCAACTCTTTGTGACCCCATGGACTATAGCCTACCAGGCTCCTCCATCCACGGGATTTTCCAGGCAAGAGCACTGGAGTGGCTTGCCATTTCCTTCTCCAGAAGTAACAATAGAAAGGTCTTACCAGACCACCTCAGTTCAGTTCAGTTCAGTTGCTCAGTTGTGTCCAACTCTTTGTGACCCCATGAACCGCAGCACGCCAGGCCTCCCTGTCCATCACCAACTCCCGGAGTTTACTCAAACTCAAGCCCATCAAGTCGGTGATGCCATCCAGCCATCTCATCCTCTGTCATCCCCTTCTCCTCCCACCCCCAACCCCTCCCAGAATCAGGGTCTTTTCCAATGAGTCAACTCTTCACATGAGGTGGCCAAAGTACTGGAGTTTCAGCTTCAGCATCAGTCCTTCCAATGAACACCCAGGACTGATCTCCTTCAGGATGGACTGGTTGGATCTCCTTGCAGTCCAAGGGACTCTCAAAAGTCTTCTCCAACACCAGACCACCTACTCCCACATAAAGTAACAGAATTAGTCAGAAGGTTCCTGCTAAGAAGGAGAAACATGTCCTTACCAAGACACACTGTTGTTATATAATTAGCACAGAGCTTAAGGGAAAACATACTCGAGCAATATGAATTGTTATGTTGTGTAATCATTATCTCTGGGCTTAAAGGAAATAAATTTATGTCTTATGTGACTAAGACAAAACAGGTAGAAAAAAAGTTTGCCCTTTTCTCCAGCTCCAGAGCCCTGGGCCCTTTCCTCCTTGGGGGCCCTTATCAACCTACCTAAGAATTAACTCTCTCATTTGTCCCTTTTGTGTTTGAGTTTATAAAGTCTTATGATCATCATCTTGATTTTCAAATGTTAAATCTAGAGGATGCCTGAGGGAGGACTTGAATCTGTATCTGCTGAAATGAAAATCAATGGATTTTCTGTTAAAGCAAGCTGACTTCTACCTCTATTTTCTACTTTTCAAAAAATTATTAAGTTTTAATCTCCATGACAGGCTGTAAGTCTTGTTCAAAGTGTAGGGCTACATCTTTTAGATAACCTCAGATCTGATCTAAAGTTGTAAAGCAAAGACTTTACTAAACTGCTGTTAGTGGGCTGTTTCAAGTAACATGTGTTTCTTAACCATTTTCGGTAAACATAGATGTGTCCAGTAGCCTGTAATAATAATTCTCAATTCTTCCACAATGAGAACCTCCTCTCTGATTTTAAAAAATAATTTTCTCCCTCACAACACCCATATTATAAAATACACCTATTATACAAATTGCATTCACTTCCTAAGAATTTGTTTTTATATGAAACGATCTATTAAAGGGTACACAATTTTAAAAGCTAAAAAAAAAAGATGATAAATGGCAACCAAAATAACACTAAATGTACTTACTAACAGATGATTTACTAACAGTTTGCTTGTGCAGCAAACTCTCATCAGAAAGATCTGGAGTTGAATTCTAGTCCCTCCACTTGTTTTCCATGTTACTTTAGTATCCTGAGACTTATTTTTCTTTTTCAGTACACAGAGTAGTAAATTCAATAATATCCAGTGTTTATAAGGGTATGAATGAGGGAATATAGGAAAATTATCTGGCAACACACTGCCTTTTTTGCCTACAGCATCCACTCAATAAGTATTATTTTTCTCCTGTGAGAAAATATAAAAGCTCGAAAGCATTTCTGAATAATAAAAATAACTCACCAATGAAAATTCCGGAGTCCCTCAGGCTGGGAGACCTCTCTAGATAGAGAGACACAACAGTGTCTATCTACAGTGCCTTCTACGAATTAATGGAATTCATCATGAGCAGGAAATTGTAGAGACTAGCATCACTATGTGTGTGGTGGGATGTACCTTTCAGACATAAGCTGCTGTCTTTCCTAATAATCTTCCATAGACTCCAAAAGAGCAAGGCTGTCGTAGTCTATCTGAAATGTCCTGAGGAGCTAGACATTGAAGGCATAGGTGTGTTCAAGAGACCCCAGGGTCTGGGTCAGCCATTTGTGTGAGCCTTTTGTTAGAGAGTGTCCTAGCAGATCAGGCATATGGTTGTTCTTCCAAAAGTTGTTAGGTTTGTGTATGAGTGGTATGTGACAGTGACAAAGAAGGAAGCTTCTGTTGAATTATTTTTTTTATTCTGTTTATTTTTGGGAAAAACTCGTGCTTTCCTTTCCCACATCCTCACCAAAGTGACTTTGTTAATATTAAACATGTTATACTAAAAACATGATTCAAAAGCAAGATGCATTTCCTTCCTTTTGCTAAAGACTACACGTGGTCATCTAAAGGCAGATCATTAAGAACAGCTTAGACATTATTATTCCTCAAAACCCAAAAGCTTTAAACGTGCAATGAATTATTTGAGTAAGCTATTTACAATTTTATTTTCTTTTTGTTTTTTATTCACAGACCAAAACCACCAACCCAAAAGATTTTTTTCCCAATGCACAGACTGTGCTCTGATAACAAGCTGGGCACTTCTAGAAGATATTTTAGCTCTATAAAGTCAGTAAAAGGCAATATAGGAAAAAAACAACCTAAACATCAGGCTGACTGGTATTTAAGTATTAAGGTCAATTTGTATGTATTTGTTCAACACATATTGAGAATTTCTATTACACTCTTCTAAGAATTCAAGGTTTTCATAATTTATATCAGATAATATCCACTAGTGAGCAGTCACTGGAGGAACCATAGTATTATTCCACACATAATATTTTTCTGTTCTTCCTCTGCTTTATTCCTTTGTTTCCTGAGAAAATGATATATAAACCATAGATTTTGAGAAATATCAGTATCCTGGAATTCCTTTGCTGAGAGGAAAGATTTCTTGACATTATTTGTTCATTAATAGTATTGAGGACTCTCTGAAAATCAACTCTTGGGAGTTAAATCCCTCAGACTATGGATATTCTACTTTAAAGGGTATCGTTGCCTCCACATCATCAGTCTGCTTTGCTGCGCTGTTCTAATCTACCAAATACTTGGTTTGAGTTCTTCCTATTTATAATAAAAACCTTTTGTTTACCAATGTTTTGATTTATATCTTAGTTCTTCTACTACCAAAGTATAGCTTTGTTATACTCAACAAACTGGAGTCAAAGAATGAAAATAGTTTTGAAATGTTGTAGCCAAAATCTCTCCCTTATTGTTAATAATTATTTCTGATAGTCCTTAGGCCTCAAAGGAGCTTTGCCTGCACGGATGTAGACAGCCTGCTTATCCAACAGTGAGTTGAGAGCAGCCTCAGTCTTCCCAGCAAGTAAGAGTGGAGGCTGGTGATGTCCACATGAAAAATAACTCTCTTCCAGGTTTTGCAATGGAACAGATATGGTTGCTGTTGCTGCTGACAACGAGAGTGCTTCCGGGTTCTGCTGAACAGATATGGTTGCTGTTGCTACTGACAACGAGAGTGCTTCCGGGTTCTGCTCAGTTCAATGGCTACAATTGTGATGCCAGCCTCCACAGTCGATTTCCTGGTAAGTCTGAACCCAGTCTTTTCTCTAATTGTATCTGGAGAGAGTGATTATGTTTAAATAGAAAATGATTTAAATGCATATGTAAAATGAGGGGGATATCTGTCTTTACTAAGTGGATATTAACAAATGGAAAATGACAAAAGACATTTTTCTGAAGTTGTAATTTATAACCACATTAACATATAAAGTGTTCATTGTATTAGTTTATATTATTATAATGGCTGCTCACAGATGTGAAAAATATTAGCTAATGATTCATAAAATTGGGAGAGGCTAATGTCATTCAAAATTTGTCTACTTGATGGACTTTTTCTCATAAATTAATTCAGACTTTTAAAATTTCCATTATATTCTAATAGATTTATTTAGGAAGAATACTTAGAAAATGATTGTGAAATATTATACAGTACTCAAACAAAATACTATTTCAGTGAAGTGTTGGTCACCAAAAGTACACAGGCCAGCTTCAGAATGCGTTTCAGAGCAATCCATTAATATTTTGACAGACATGAGACTTTGACCATCTTGATGGGTGTGTCCCACAGGTTGTTAAAATCTGCATTTTTTTAGAGGCAATTTGAGGTTTCACTTAAGCATTCATCTTTTTATATCAGCTGAAGCTATAGAGCCATAGTTCAATATTTAGAAAAGAAGGATCAGGAAATCTGAAACTCTACGTAAGCATTGCAAACTGGAATACGTTCTGCCGTATTTTACATGCTCCTGTGTTTGGAGCATAGCAGAGCAACAGCCCCGACAGCGCGACCAGCAGGGAGTTATTTAGTGGATGTGACGTTTCTAATTTATTGAGCACAGGTAATCCGGCCTGCTCCAGAATAAAGAAAGAATATGTAGAAATATCTTCATGAGCCCAGATCTAGCATGAGACTCTTTGGTAGGTTAAGTAAAATAAGGAGTTCAGGATGGGGAATGTCGAAAAGCAAGTTTACAAAGGTAAGTTCAGGCAGGGTTCTTAATGATTTTGAATACACAAATGATAGGATTTTTTTTTAACCTCTTTACTATGGAAAATTTAAAATATATTCAAAAGTAGAGATTAGTAAAAAAAAAAAACCCATAGAAATCATCCACCTTCATCAGTTGTCAGCATTTATACATTTTGTTTCATGTGTCTTTCCTACTACTCCCATCTCTAAAATATTTTAAAATAAATTCATTTTTCATGTTTCATTATATATAAGTGAAAAGAACTTTAAAAATCATTACACTTATTTAATAAAATTAATAGTAATTCCTTAATATCATTCAATATTTAGCCAAGTTGCCTCTAAATCAATATGGTACATTTGTTGATGCATTTCTTGAGTCTGTTTTAATTTATAGCATGCCTTAGCTTTTCTAAAATGCCATTTACCTCTATCAGTAACTTGGTCATTTGTTTCTTTTAATTCCAACACTCTGGATCTGGTTGACTGTAACTCCTTTGTGTCATTTAACATGCTCCTCTTTTCCTATATAACCTGCTAACTGATTAGAGTTAGAGATTTGAATAAATAAATTCAGGTTCAGTTGTTTTGGCAAAAGAAATTTGTGTATTATTTGTGTAATGAAAGTGTTTCAACTTTATTTTGTAGGCCATGAAGAGCCATTGCCTCTTTTTAAACCCACCTTTTTAAGGATTTTATGGGGTCACATCTTATTTGAGAAAGTAGACATTGGGGAAAAGTGTGAAAGACAGAATCAAGTGAAAAGAGACTAGTGGCAGAGAGAAATGTCACAAAGGCAGTGGCAACGGAAGCAGAAGGAGGCAGGTATTCAGAGATACAGTGTTTTGTGGTGGATACATCAGAACTTGAGAACTGATTTGATTTGGGAGGTGAGCCAAGGAGAAGACCAGAGGGTGTTTTGAAATTGAATAATTCAGTGTTGATACTGTTAACTGACCCTGAGAGCATAGGGCATGTGTATGTTTTAGAAAAGAAGTTTGGATTTGAGAAGAATGACTTTCAGGTACTCTTAGAATGTAGGGAGGCAGCCTCTACCCAGAAGTAGGAAATACAGACCTGGTCTGAGGAGAGAGGCTGGAGACTGAAAGAAGCGGTGTGAGAGTTGGATTCCTGGGCAGCGAGTGAGCAGTGAAGGAGAGACAGGAGCAGGGAGGAGGAGAGGTGTGGAAATACACTGTGCTTTCAGTGACTTTGGGGGTGCAGGAGGAGGGGGAAGGAGCTGAGCTCATGTTCATGAGTGAAAGGAGAGGGTTTGCGGATGAGAGGGCTAGAGACACCGAATCTGTTACGTAAGAATGTGAATCCGCAAAGGGGCAGGATTCAGAGCCTGGGAATCCTAAGACCAAAAACAAAAATACTGGCCAAGTACAGACACGAGCAAAGGGAAGGCATGCAGAGGCTGGAGTCTAACAAAGAAACACCTCAGGTAATGAGGACAGAAAATACGGAAGAGCTCAAAGTACAGGTGGAGGAGTTCACTTTGGAAACGTGGCAGCTATGTATTTGATTTAGGAAAGAGGAGAAATAAGAGATCCTGGCGGAGAAGTTTACAGGTTCTAGTCGTGTTCATATCCTCAGGGAAGTGGGAGGCAGAAGCCCTCAGACAGGGAGGGGCCGTAGGCCTGGCTGAGGCCTGGCAAGGGGAGTCAAGTCTTACTCTATTATGGATGGAAAAGAAAGCCAAAGTGTAGCAAGATTGCTCAGTAGAGAGAATATAGCTGATGTGGTAGTTATTACACTTGTAAAGATAAATTGAACATGTAAATGAGCCAAGGAGTGACTAGGACAGCCAAAGGAAGTATTTTTCATGTGGTAAATTTTTAAAATGGTGTGGAAGCTTCCATCTCCAATAGCACCTTCTGATCACCAGCATCCAAACCAGCTGAGATAGTTGTTATGTTTGGACTGCATCACTTCACCCCAGATGTGCTGTGCGGTGCTTACCTGCTCAGTCATGCCTGACTGTTTGCGACTCCACAGACTGCAGCCCACCAGGCTCCTCTGTCCATGGGGATTCTCCAAGCGAGAATGCTGGAATGGCTTGGATGGGATCTTCCCAACCCAGGGATCGACCCCAGCTCTCCTGCACTGCAGGCAGGTTCTTTACCGACTGAGCAACCAGGGAAGCCCTTACCCCCAATATGTAGTATCAGAATCTCTGAATGTAGTACTGGGAATTTTTTTAAAAATCCTGCAGATGAGTCTCATGTGCATTATGATTGAAAACAATTGACAGTGTGTTCTATTATTGAGTCCATTATTCCAGTCAAAAGCATAATCATGTATTAAGGAAATATAACTAAAAACAAAATCTCCTCCCAACCCAGAAATCCTTTCCACTAACATAGCAGACATGAAAACACTCATTGAATTAGCATTAAACCAGAATATGATGTTCGATACAGGCAATTCACTGAAAGTGAATTGCAGAAGGAATCTCACTCTTTTACATAGTCAAGCAGAGACAGCAAATTATATGCATATTTTCAAAATAAGTAATAACTGTCCTTAAGTAAAAGGGCTTGGCAGCACCTTTTGTCATATATAGTTCATCCTGAATTTACCTGGTTATTGGGGTGACCATTCATGCTAGTGTATTAGCTTTACCCAGAGCAAAAATAAAATTCTCACATCTTTATGAAAAGAGGTACTTTTGCAATTTGAAGTGAGGTTCCAACTGAAGTTAGGCTCCCAGCCTTCCCAGACTGTGATATAGGGGTAGTACTTTCCTTGATGTTTATATTTCTAAGAGATAGTTCCCAAGTCCTTGAAAAACATGTCCCTCAGTAGTAAAGCTAATTTTCAAAAGAATTTATATACATTTCATGAACATGAGAAAGTACTTATGTGTTTTCTGATATCAATGATCTCTTTATTTTCAACAGGGAAAATTAAAATTTGTATTTGTACTTACACTTTTTAGCACTTTTATTTCTGTTGAGCTTAGACAACAAGTATCCACACCACCCAAACCTATGCATACACACACACATATTGTTGCAATTTATTATTATTATTATTTTTCATTTATTTTTATTAGTTGGAGGCTAATTACTTTATAATATTGTAGTGGTTTTTGCCATACATTGACATGAATCAGCCATATTGTTGCAATTTAAAATTTATATTAAAAATATCTAAAATTTGATAAATTAGAAAGCACAGGAGAGGCTTTAGTTATATGGATATTCTTTTCAAGAATTTTTGCAGCCCAGTTTTTAAGCCCATTTTTGCAGATTGCTTGCAAAAGAAGATCAGAGTGAATAAATAAAGCCTGAAGGTTAATTGCTCACTTCCCTCTTGACTTGTGGCTTCTCTCCCACATCAAGATCACCCTTGATGTCATCAAGAGCTCCACAAGCTGCTCAGATGCTAAGCAAAGGCCTAGAATGAGAATGAGTCTGGCAAAGGAAGGAGCTATCTAAATGCAAAGTAATGTTAATAATGATGAGAGTAATCATCTCACCCTATCTGACCTTTGCTGTTTCATGACATTAGAACTATTTTCTTTAATTTTCACGGCATTTATCCTTGAGTCAAGGGAACTATCATGGTTTAATATATTTTAAATTTAAAGGGACACCATTTAATTTTAAAGGTAGTTAACTCTTGGCTATCCAAACTAGTACCAGGGAATAGACTCTTGCCCCACTGACATTATAATGATGCTCTTCCAAGAATAAAATTCAAACTATAGTTGACTTTTTGAGTACCAAGGAATTATTTGGCTGCCAAAGTGAAATATACAGGTAAGTCTTTTGGCCTCTGCAACTAATGTACACTAGTCTCTTTTAGAAGATGCTATACATAAGAGTCTGCTTGAGCTTCCAAGTCCCTAAAGAAGTCTTTAATGATAAAGGCACAATCAAGGAAAAGATTAGGACACCAGAAACTTTGTGACCTGACATTGTTTTATGATGAACTAATGAGTCACACTGAATGTTAGTGTTATATAGCTTGTCATTTTGTATTCTATTTGAAATAGCACTCCGTTCAGTTCCATTCAGTCGCTCAGTCATGTCCGACTCTTTG